GTATCTAGGATGGCACTTGTGAGCTTTTAAGTCCCCAAGCACTACACCATGGACTAGAAGGTACAACAGAAACACTAAAAACAATAAGTAGGCCAATTGACTAGAATGACCCTAAATGTTCAAACCAAGAAAACAAATCCTGTGATAGGAGCTGTGATGGCGTAGTGCCTAAGGCATTTGACCACTAACCAGAAGGCTGGTAGTTCAAACCCACCAGCACTCTTTGGAAGGAAGACTGGGCAATCTACTTCTGTAGAGATACCGCCTTGGAAGCCCAAGGAAGAGGGGGCGCTATGAGTCGGACTTGATGGCAGTTAGTTTGGGTTTTTTTTGTTTTTGTTTTTAATGTCTTGTGCAGAAGCATCAGTCGGTAGCAGCTGCTCTTCTTTTATTTGTTTTTTGTTTTGGTAAAAAATATATATATATAACTCATCATTTGCCAATTCAGCCTTATTCAGGTGTACAACTAAGTGATATCAGTTACATTAATCGTGTTATGTTGTGCAACCATTACCCTTAATCGATGCCAAATATCACATCACCATGAATAGAAACTCACTGCTTCCCCCAAACAGTGGTTCCTCTCTCTCCCATACCTGGTAACCAGTAATAAACTTTGTTCTCTACACATTTGCCTATTCTTGGCAGTTCATAGAAGTGAGATCATACAATTTTTGTTTTTGTGTGATTGACTTATTTCACTAGCATAATGTTTTCAAAGTTCATCCATTTTGTAGTATGTATCATTTCTCTTACTGACTGAGTAGTATGCCTTTGTATGCATGTACCATATTTTATTTATTCATTCATCTGCTGATGAGCATTTAGGTAGTTTCCACCTTTGTGCTATTGTGAATAGTGCTGCAGTGAACACTGGTAGATGTATGTCTGTTCATCTTGCTGCTTTTAAGTCTCTTGGATATATACCTAGGAATGGATTGCTGGTCATATGGTAGTTTTATTTTTAATTTCTTAAGGAACTGCCACACTTTTTCACAATGGCTGTGCCGGTTTTATTCCCTACCAACAAAAGATAAGGGATCCATCATTGCCTGCATTTGTTATTTTCGATTTGCCACCACCTCTCCCCACCCCACCTTTTAGCCAATGTAGTAGAAGTGAAGTAGTGTCTAACTGTGATTTTGATTTGCATCTCTCTGAGGGCTAAAAACATTAGATCATCTTTTCATGTGTTTGTGGCCATTGACATATCCTCTTTGGTGAAATACCTATTAAAGTCCTTAGCCCATTTTTTTGATTGGGTTGTCTTACTAAATTGCAAATATATGCCATTGATTCTTAATATATAAAGCTATTTAAAAGTTGCAAATGTTCTAATTCTGTCATTTTACAAAAGCCATAGAGCTAACTACTGTAGATAGAAATGCTAGATTCTTTCTCTTTATATGCTGGTTTTCAACATGGTGGTGGTGGTGGTGGACCCTTTGCTTTACTAAGCTTGGTATCCTTCTCCAGGGACTGGTCCCTCCTGATGACATGTCCAGAGTATATGGGGCAAAGTCTTCCTATCCTCGCTTCTAAGGAGCATTCTGGCTGTACTTGTACCAAGACAGATTTGTTTGTTTATCTGGCTCAGTATTCTCCACCACCGCTATAAAATCCAAATGCATCAATTCTTCTTTAGTCTTACTTATTCATAGTTTTCAACATACCAAATTGTTACTTTATCACCCTCAAAGGGGACAAAGGTTTCTCTGAAACTCATAAGCTTGCATAAACATTGCCTCCTTTTTGGTCAGTGAAAGCCTCTTCAGGTTGTCTTCTGAATGAATTTTACACAAGTTTAGTAATCTGTGATGGATTTATCTTGTACAGTTTTTTTCCCCCAGATTCAGAATCATCCATTTCTCCAATATACCCTTCTTCCTTTCAATAAGTAGTAGTATAAATTAACCCATCCCATTTATTTGTTGCATATTTATTTTAAAATAAAATACCTCATGAATTTTTATTTATAGTTTCAATTAAAATTCAGAGCTCTACAACTGGTTTTGGTATTGCATCTGCATCTGCTATTTTGCACAAGGATTGTGGTTCTTCAAAACTCAAAATCATTTAGAGAAAAAAAGGGGGGGGTACCAGATTTGCTGGTCAGATAGAGCCTGGTGAAACCACTGAACTGTGGCTCCTAGCTTCCCTTCAGGTCTGGAATTGAACCCACATCTGTGGTTTCCAGGCAAACAAAAGACAGGCATATGAGTTGAACATTTACCTGAGGTAGATACACTCCTTGGAGAGAACAATCATTGAGAAAGAAGGGCTGCTTATGCACAGGGAGACAGCTCAGGGGCAGCAGTGCATGGAGGGATGGACACTGGGAAGAGGTAACTATGGGGAGAAAGTGGGAGGGGAGCTGTTGCATTGTGGTAAACTGTGGTCAATGTCATGAGACAAAGTATATGTGAACTGCTATATGGAAAGTGAATTTGCTCTGTAAATCTTCACCCAAATCACAATTAATACAGATAGATAGATAGATAGATGGTTCTTAAGGATACAGTGGATGATAAAATTAATGATCGCTTGCAAGCGGTTTTAAAATATTATGTGCTTATGCTTTCCATTTATCTAAATAGTTGTTCACTCTCTAGACTGACGTCAGAGTATGCCATAGGCATTATATACTATACTTTGTAGTCTTAGGTCTAGAAAGCTATTTATTTAATGGTTACCACCAGCCCTTATTTTGCTGCCTCTCTAATTTGATTGTCTGAAATGCGTTTTCTCTGAAAAGGTTTATGGAAGCAATGCTCACTGAGTTCTTGCATGCTAACATCAGTTTATGGTCTTTATCTATGGATACTCATATACTAAATCCTTGGCCTACATTGCCTTTCCTTTAAGTGTCTTAAAATATATTACTCCATTTTCTTTTGTTAAAGTCAATTATATATTTTTCTATTCTTCATAAGTCATTTGCTGTTTTTGTATATATCCCAAAGGATTTTTCTCTTTGGTGTCTATTTTTCTAGTGTCTTGGTCATTCTGGATTGATACCCTCAATTGTATTGTGTGTCCTTTTACCACGTATGTGCTTATCATCTTACATTTTCTTTGGGTTTGTTCTTATTTGTTTCTAACTTCTTAAGTTATTTTAGTAATTTTCTGATATAACCATTATGGCTATATTTCTCAGTTTCCCCACTCACTGCCTCCCACATGTTTTAGTAAGGTCACTCAAGCAATGGCAGATGACCAAGTAGTATATAAACTAGATATGCCAGGGTAATTTATTAGGAGAAACTCACAAGGGCAATGAAATGTTCTCCCATCTTTTATTTCTGGTTACTGCTATGTTACAGTGGCATACCACCTGGATTGTTGGATAAGCTTTGTGAGGTAGTGCTGGATTTTCATTTGCCTTAGTCCTATAGGTTTAACTTGGGGGGAAAATGTTAAACAGAATTACTTTTGCTTGTGCATTTGCTAGGAGGCCAAGTACCTATATACAGGATCTTGTAGCTTTGTGCTCTAAATGAAGACTTTCTGGGTCCTAGAGATCTATTCACATTAAACTTTTGCTACATACTGCTAAATTTTTCTCTAATAAAGATTATACTAATTCAGTATATAAGATTAGTGATTGAAAATGTTTTGTCTTTTTGCCACTCCTTTTGTCACTACATTGTAATTTTTGCCATTTTGATAGATAAAAAATGTTCATTGGTTTAACTTGGATTTCTTTAACTACTAATACGTTAGCAACTGGTTATAGTTAATGGCCTAAAAATTGCCTATTCATTTACTTTGCTTATTTTTCCCTTATTGGTGTTTGTCTTTCTTACTGATTGGCAAATGCACCTTTGATATGAAGAATAGTACCTAAAATATTGCTTTTCCCGAATTATGTCTTTTAACTTCATGTGTTCTGTTTTTGGCGATTTTTTTTTTCTTTTGCTACTTACATTTTAAACTTCAAAGTCTCAAAATCTGTTAGACTATATCATTTTTGTTACAGATTTTCTCAAACTACTAAACTACTCAATCGTAACTTTTTTAACCAATGCAAATTAAAATCAGTGGGGAAAATATTCTCAGGGAAGGGAAAAAAGGGCCTCAGTATTAGATTTAGTTCTTAGATTGTTTTTTTTTTCTGTTCTGTTTGTCATTCTGTACATAATTTTCCCAGTTCCTTTTGGAAAATAATCTGGCCTCAAACATAAATGCACTTCTAGTATGGCTTAAGGTCCACTTGATAGACCTTCCTCTATTTGTGCAGAGAAAATACCTCTTTTCATTCTCCTATGTGAATGAAGGAGCTCTAGTGGTGTAGTGCCTAAGGCACTTGACTGCTAACCAGAAGACTGGCAATTCAAACCCACCAGCCACTCGTCGGAAGGAAGGTTGGGCAATCTACTTCCATAGTGATACTGCCTTGGAAACCCAAGGAGGGGTCGCTGAGTCGGGTCCAACTCAGTGGCACATAACAACACAACAGCAGTACGTGAATGAAAAAAAAGATTTAGTTTTATTTGTCTTGATTCCAGGAAAGAAATTTTAACTCTTTCATAACTCATGGGACATACTACACCCAACATTTTCAGCCTCTAAGATTTCTTGGGAAGTTGCTATCCCACTTGTAGTATGTGCTATTTGCTACTACCTGGCAAGGGCCTACTGTATAACTTCATAAATCTGAAAAAAAACAGGCCTAACTCCACTAATCCTACCACCAGCATCCATATGGGACATATATGTCCCACATAACTGTATCAAAATCCATATTATCTCAAAAAAGTACTATTTTTCTTTGATTTCAGCATGCCTTGCATTACTGAAAACACATAATAGCAAGACAAATTTCAAAGCAGAAACTAATTTTGCTATGAAAGGGTTAAAGTCCTTAAATGTTACTTTGTTCAAATGATACTTGATTAGGTGCTTACAGCCATGGACTTTTGCATAGCAGAGCAACATAGTATTTAAGTAGGAACAAAACTATGAGGAGTCCAATATGATTCTTTTCCCCTTTTTTGTAGGACAAATGAAAAGGACTAAATGTGCTGAAATTGACGTTGAGACACCAGACTCCATTCTGGTTAATACAAATCTGCGAGCATTGATCAATAAACACACCTTTTCAGTTCTACCTGGAGACTGTCAACAACGACTGCTTCTGCTGCTTCCAGAAGTGGATCGACAGGTGTGTTAATTCAAGCCTAAGCAATTTTATAACCTTTCTGAGGCTTCCCTCACTCATTCCCCTAAGAATTCCTTAAGAATTTTTTTTTTTTTAATTTCTGTGAACTGATAGAAAAGTGGTATTAATGGTACTAAAAAAAGAAATGTTATTCTTATGTAAGCATTCTTAATAAGTGGGCCCTGTAAGGCTTATAAAATAAAGCAAAACTCTTTTACCAGGATGCAATGATTAAAGAATAAAATCTGTCTTGTTATCTGTCATCTACTGATGTAGATAGGTGTCAATAGAATATAGCTTAAGGAGATCTGGAGAGTTGTATTGGTCCAGCATCTATTAGATGTGAGCCAGTGCCTCAATGGAGTGGGAAATGTTAGGAATAAACCAAAGACCTGTATTCAGATAATTATATACATCTGATATAAGGGGTTAACAGTAAAGGGATTATTTTTATTCTTTTATTAATTTTTTCAAAAACATGATTCTTTTCATAGTATAGAAGTTAGACACTATCAGTTATAGTTTCAAACAGAAGTAGCAAGAAGAAATACTAATGGTTTAGGAAGAGTCAAGGCAGGAACCACAGATTCACCTTAGTCAAGAATAATAGAGATCTCAGACTGAGGCTCTCGTGGCATAGTGCCTAAGGCATTTGACTGCTAACCAAAAGGCTGGCGGTTCAAACCCACCAGCCACTCACTGGAAGGAAGGTTAGGCAATCTACTTCCATAGTGATACTGCCTCAGAAACCCAAGGAGGGTTCACTATGAGTCAGATCTGACTTGATGGCAGTGAATTTGGTTTTGGTTTTTTTGGTAAGACTAAGGCTTTCATCAAAGCAAGAGTAAATGGCAGATCCCTCCCCCTTCTGAATTTTTGTTTGCTCCTCTACAAAAGAAAGGGTGAGACCATTATGATTTTCTAAGGTTTATTCAGTTACAGAATTTTCAAAAATTGTTATTTCCTTGTACTTACTATGTGCTAAGTAATATGGTAGAATTTTTTAATTTATGATGGGGAGATACTTCCCCTAGCTTACAGTAAAATAATTAAGATAAATAGAGAGTAAGTTGAGTACACAAATCTGTATAATTATTGAATTGAGATTCAAAACTAATTCTGAAAATGATCTTTCTGCTAAACTACATTGATGTCAGTTACATAGAGCTATGAATCAGCACATGTCAAAGCAGGTCAGATTCCATTGTCTGGGTGCCCACATAAGCCAGATACACTACCAGCACCAAGAAGAAAGAAGTGAAACTGATCCTTCCCAGTGATTGCTCTGTTTTAACAGCTCTTAAAATCAAAGCTTTTGGGTTGCTTACTTAGAAAAAGTTAGGAGACTAAAGTTTCAGTACAGTTTTTAGAGGACCTCTCCTCATTAAGAGATTGTTCTCATCTGTTTTTAGACGCAGGGTTATTAGGCTGTGTGTATAATAGTATATAGGACCTAACGGAGGGCCAATTTATAGAACTCTAGTGCAAGTTCCACCAAACTGTCTTTTTGACTGATGGCTTATACCCTCTTAGAAGGAATATTACTACATATAATTTTGAAATTAAAAGGGACCTCAGAGGCTATCTGGTTCATCTTCTCATGCAGTGCAAGCTTATGAGATAGTTTATGGAGGAGATTGCTTAACCAGTGTTTTTTACTTATTAATATGATGGAGCACACATAGTATTCTGAGATATATTGTCCTTATACATAGAGCCTTTAGCATTCCAACTGAGTAAAATAGTTCCACTGTCCAATGAAGTTTTCGGGGTTTATAAAGAATCTTAAGAGTGCATGGGTGGCGCAAACGAGTAATCACTGGACTACAACAAAAAGGTTAGATACTCAAATACAGCCAGAGGCTCGTGGGAAGTAAGACCTGAAGATTTGCTCTGAAAGGTCACACAGCCTTGAAAACTCTCTAGTTCTACTCTGCGCACAAGGTGTTGTCATGAGTCACAATCAACTCAAAGGCCACTAATAACAATAAAGAATTCTAGCTATCGCTAAGATGAAAAGTTGGAAACCATACTGCAGTATAAGGAGTACTCAGCAGTGAACAGAAAAATATTACGACCAGAGGAAGAATGAAGATGAATAAAACAGCTATGTTCAGATATATTTGAAGCTCTATCAGATGGAAGGAGTTTGGGTAAAACGATAGTCATCCCTCTGTATCCATGGGGAATTAGTTCCAGGACACACCTTCTCCCCATTCCAAAATCCTGAGATGCTCAAGTCCCTTATATAAAATAGCTTAATATTTGCATATAAATTATACATCTTATTTACTGTAAAATCATCTCTAGGTTACTTAATAATTACTAATACAATTCAAATGTTACATAAATAGCACTTTACAGCTCTTTCTTAGCCATTGAGGGATTTTTTTGACCATTTAATTGCTCCCCACCCCCACCCCCCACCCTTGGAAAATATTTTCTATCCATTCTTGATTGAATCCACAAATACAGAGATCTTACTATGGGAGCTCTGGTAGCATAGTGCCTAAGGCACTTGACTGCTACCCAGAAGGCTGGCAGTTCAAACCCACGAGCTACTCCTCGGAAGGAAGATGGGGTAATCTACTCCCGTAGTGATGCTGCCTCGGAAACCCAAGGAGGGGTCGCTATGAGTCAGATCCAACTCAACAGCATATGACAACAACAACAACACTATGACAACAATTAGAGCAGTTAGATTGTGGAATGCATTGACTTGTTATGGAGTAATTGCTCATCAATAGAGTATTCAAGCAGAGATTGGATAATCTGTTCCACAGGGAAGCCTGTTACCCCTCTACCAACATTCTAATGGAGGGTCTGGGAACTACAGCCCGCAGGCCACACTCTGGCTCACTACCTGTTCATTTTTCTTTTTTTTTTTTTCTTTTTATTGTGATTTGGGTGAAAGTTTACAGAGCAAATTCATTTTCCGTACAGCAGTTCATGCACATTATGTGTCATGACACTGATTACAATCCCCATAATATAACATCTCCCTGCCCACTTCCTCCCTGTGGTTACCTTTTCCCTGTGTCCTTCTTTCCTATGCATTCCTGCTCTCTAAGCTATCTCCCTGTGCAAATGCTACCCTTACGATCTCCCATATTGATTGTTCTAAAGAGTGTACCTACCTGCTGTAACTGTTCATCTTATATGCTTGGGAAGCCACAGAAGTGAATTCAGTTCCAGGCCTGAAAGGTAAGTAGGGGCCATAGTCTCAGGGTTTTCACCAGTCTCTATCAGACCAGTAAGCCTGGGGTTTTTTTTGTTTTGTTCTGTTTTGTTTTGTTTTATGATTTTGAGTTTTGTTCCACATTTTTCTTCCACTCTATCCAGGGTCTTCTGTGTACTGATCCCTTTCTGAGTGGTTGACAGTGCTAGCCAGACACCATCTAGTTCTTCTAGTCTCATGGTCATGTAGGCTAAGGTTTGCATGGTCCACTAGTCCCTTGGACTAATTGTTTCCATGTGTCTTTGGTTTTCTTCATTCTTCTTTGCTGCATTACTGCCTATTTTTGTAAACAGTTGATATTGGCACATTGCCATTTCTATTAGGGCACATATTGTCTGTGACTGCCTTGTGCTTCAATATCAGAATTGAATATTGCAACAGAGGCCATCCACCTCGAAAGCCTAAAATATTTTTTGGTGTAGCCTTTATACAACATGTTTACCAACTCCTGCCCTAAACAACCAAAACCAAACCCAATGCTATCAAGTCAATTCCAACTCAAAGCAAGCATTTTTAGGACAGAATAGAACTGTCCCATAGGGTTTCTAAGACTATAAATCTTTATGGAAGCAGACCTCCTCATCTTTATCCTGTTGAGCAACTGGTGGGTTCAAACCACCGACCCTTTGGTTAGCAGCCGAGTGCTTTAACCAGTACACCACCAGAGCTCCTGACTCCTACCATTGTTATTGTTGTTATGTGCTGTCAAGTTGGATCAGGATAAAATAATGTTGGCTCGATAGATTTAGTGAGTAGAGTGGGTTAAGAAGTTTCCCTAATTTTAGGTTTTCCAAATACTTTCCTAAATTTTCTTTAAAAAAATTATTGACTTAAAATTTGTGTTTAGATTTTTAATCTATCTGGAATATTAATTTATTGATTGATTTATTTTGCATATGCAGTGAAATTGAAGTTCAACTTTATTTTTCCACTGTATGGATAGCCAGTTGATCCAGCACTATATATTTGTTTGAAATGTACTTTATTACATACCCTATTCCTATATATTTTATATAGATATATATATAAATAGGTATATAGATATGTAGTATATGTAAATAGTATAGATAAGAATTTTTTAAAAACCCACTGCCATCAATTCGATTCTTGACTCATAGTGACCTCCATTGGGTTTCCAAGGTTGTCAGTCTTTATGGAAGTAGATTGCCTCATCTTCTTCCTAGAGAGCAGCTGGTTAGCAACCAAATGCCTTACCCACTATGCCACCAAAGTTCTCTCTATATATATATGTATGTATGTGTGTGTGTGTGTGTGTATATGTATGTATGTATATATATATACACGTATGTTGTTAGGTGCCATCGAGTCTGACCCGACTCATACCAACCCCTCCTTGGGTTTCCAAGACGATACCACTACAGAAGTAGGTTGCCCAACCTTCCTTCCGAGGAGTGGCTGGTGGGTTTGAACCACCAGCCTTCTGATTAGCAGCCAAGTGCCACATATATGAATATAATATGCAGTATATATATATGTGTGTCTGTGTGTGTGTGTCTATATATGTTTGTAAGATGCTCTCTCCCACTGATTTCTTTTTTCACTTTTATGCCAGTAATAATAGGATTGTTTGGATTTTTTTTTAGTAATAATAGGATTTTGATCACAGTGTTTTTGTGTGGTGGTTTACTACATGAAAAGGCATTTCATCCTCACAGTTTGTCATTGTTATTATTATTTTCTTAACCGGTCTATGGCACATTTTTTTCTATATGAACTTGAAGATCATTTTATTCAATTAATGAAAAATAGGCTTTGGGGTTCTGGTAGGAGTATATATTAATTTTGAGGAGAATTTTTATTGCACCTTTTCTGATCTAGGGTTTTATGTGTTTAAATAAGATTTTATGGTTTTAACTGAGATAGGAAATGTAAAATCTCTAATGTAAAGAAGAATATTTAAAAACTTCTGTCAAGATATCGCAAATCATGTCAGTAGGCAGATAAATTAGGAAAAATACTTGCAACATACGCAAAAGTCAGTTTTACTATATATAATATACATAGAACTCTTACAAGTTAATAATACATGAAAATAAGCAACCCAGTAGAAAAAATGGAATGAACTGGCAATTCATAGGATAATAAATCTAAATATTCATTGAGCATGCAAAAAGAATATAGACAGTTTAATAGTCCAGACAAAGGGAATTTCTTCCATTTTAGACCTACTAGATTGACATCATTAAATAGCAGTATCTACTATTAGCAGAGAAGTGTATGTTCATATATTGCTGGTAGAAGTATGAATTGTTTATTTAGCCTTTCTGGCAAATAATTTGATAATATTTAGTTAAACACATACATACACACATTCTTTGATCTGAGAATCTATCCTGTAGAAATCAAAGTACAACTTTATTCATCTATACCAGAATGCTTATTGCAGCTTTGTTGATTATGGAAAAACACTGGAAACAAAGTTTATAGCTATGACTAGGGAGTGGACATTAATACAATGAAACAATATGCAACCATTAGAAAGAAGCTAAAACCTACAGCATTTGACTTGGAGAAATTTCTACATTGTATTAAATGAGAAAAGTAAGGTTAAAAACTGGGTTCCATTTTTATAGAATTTATATATTTTTTTATATAAATTATGAATTGCTACCCCCATAAATCCTATTTCATACCAATTTGTTTGTTTGCCAGTGATTCTATGAACAGGTTTTTAATCATTGGAGAATAAAGTTGGAAAGAAGGAGAGGTGAGTAAACAGGAGAGGAATTTTTTAGGAAAAGTGGTGCATTAAAAAATACAGGTATCCATAATAATGGTATTGGGTGTATTATTAGTTACAATATGGTCATCTTAGTATAAATAAACGTCCTTAAATTCTTTTCTATAAGGAAAGGAAGGTGGAGTTCCGCATGATACCTTAACTTTATTTGTAAGCTTTCCTTTGTTAATTTTTTGACCCAGGTTGGTCCAGATGGTTTGATGAAGTTAAATGGTTCAGCCCTTAACAATGAGTTCTTCACTTCAGCAGCCCAAGGCTGGAAGGAAAGACTATCAGAAGGTAAATGTTCTACCTTATGTGTCTCCCAGGATGGCACTTGGAACCAGTAGATTTATATGCACCTGGGGCCACTATGAGGACATGTTAGCACCTCATTGCATCAATAGGTAGTTGAATAGTTAAGGAGGCTAAGGATAGTTTTTTCCCATAAGGAGAACTCTAGTGATCCTTTGTGAAACATATTGCTAGACGCCCATCTCTGTTGGCTCCAGATGGAATCCAGCAATATCTTTCTTTAATGATTTAGAGTCACTTTTGAAGCTAAATTATAAACAACATTTCAGTCCTTAATCTTAGAGATTCTGATTTAGTAAGTCTAGAATAATGCCTAGAAACTGAAATTTTAATAAGCTTCCTAATAAGCAGAGTGTAGAATTAGATTTCTTTTTTGATGCTATTATAGTTAGTGTTTGGTAAGCAACGAGATAACTTCTGCATTTTGCCCATCCTTAGTGAAACTAAGAGTAAAAAGAAACAGTAAAAGCTTTTTTTAAAAGATTGAGATATGTTGTGATCCAAAATAAAAATATCACATAAATATAAATATTAAATATTGAGATATATTTCACATACTTATAAAATTCACCCATTTCAAGTATACACAGTTTAGTGGCAATCAGAACATTTTAATAAATACAGATAACAGATGATAATTACTGACTGTAGTTGTTGGTTTGCCATATATGCCATGTTTATAACTCTAATTGAACTCATTCACTGAAGGTACATCATAAAATAAAAGGTAGTTTCTTTCTGTTTGTGTGCGCATACATAGCATGTAGTGTCTCTCTGTATTAGTAGTTGTACATGAATGTTTATAGCCAAAGATGGAAACAACCCAAATGTTCAAATCCTGGTTGCCCATAATATAAACATTATTAAATATACTGATTTATTAAATATACTGATGCCCAGGCCCCACTCAACGATTTTGGTTTTACTGGTCGAGGATGGTGTATTAGTTTCTTGGGGCTGCCATAGCTAAGTACCACAAAGTTGGTGTCTTAAAACAACAGTAAGTTCTTCTTCAGCAGTTTTGGAGGCTGAAAGTCTGAATTCATGGTGTTGGTAGAGCCGTGTTCTTCTCTCTGAATGCTCTAGAAGACCTTTCTTGTCTTCCAGCTTCTGGTAGCCTCTGACATTCCTTTTTGTGGTTTGTGACAGCATAACTCCAGTCTCTGCCTCCATCTTCTAAAACCACTTCTACATTTTAGGTATTTCTAAGAGCAGCAGCCCTACTTCTCAGTACCAAATTTTGTCTTAGTTTCTCAGTACTACTCTAACAGAAATACCACAAGTGGGTGGCTTAAACAAAAATTTATTTTCTCATAGTTTGTTGTTGTTATTAGGTGCCATCAAGTTGGCTCCAACTCAGAGCAACCCTCTGTCCAGCAGAACGAAACACTGCCCGGTCATGCACCATCCTCACAATCCTGCTATACTTGAGCCCATCACTGTAGCGACTGTGTCATTCCATCTTGCTGAGGATCTTCCCCTTTTTCGCTGACCCTCTGCTTAACCAAGCATGATATCCTTCTCCAGGGAATGGTCCCTTCTGACATGACCAAAGTAGGTGAGATGAAGTCTGACAGTTCTCACTTTTAAGAAGCATTCTGGCTGCACTTCTTCCAGGACATATTTTGTTCATTCTCCTGGCAGTTCATGGTATATTATATTCAATATTCTTTGCCAACACCACAACTCAAAATCATCATTTCTTTTTTGATCTTCCTTATTCATTATACAACTTTCACATGTATATGAGGTGATTGAAAATGACCCATGGCTTGGGTCAGGCACACCTTAGTCATCAAAGTGTTATCTTTGCTCTTTAACACTTTAAAAAGGTCTTAGGCAGCAGATTTGTACAGTGCTCTATATCACTTGATTTCTTGACTGCAGCTTCCATTGGTGTTGATTGTGAATCCAAGTAAAGTGAAATCCTTGACAGCTTCAAATTTTTTTCCATTTATCATGATGTTACTTATTGGTCTAGTTGTGAGGATTTTTGCTTTCTTTATTTTGAGCTACAAACCATAGTGAAGGCTGTAGACTTTGATCTTCATCAGTAACAGCTTCAGGTCATCTTTGCTTTTGGTCATGTCTCATGGACCAATGAAGGTTCCAAAAGCTTTATCCATCCATATCATTAAGGTCAACTCTGCTTTGAGGTGGCAGCTCTTCTGCAGTCCTGTCTGGAATGCCTTCCAACCTGAGGTGCTCATCTTCCAGCACTGTATCAGACAGTGTTTCACTGCTATTTTGAGTAGACAGTTCAATCAGTCCATAACAGCCACCTTCTCTCTGCAGCTCCTGTGTCTGTCTGCTCTTTTTTTGTTGTTTAAAAAAAGGGGGGGGGTGGGGAGGAACACTGCAAAAAAAAAAACACAAATTGACCCATGTCACTTTAGTTTTGTGTATCTCACTGTACAGAAGTTATATTTCAATAAAATGTATTTAAAATAATACAGGACTGAAAATGAAAAAACAAAACAAAAGAACACCAGTCCTATTGGATTAGAGGGCCCTCCCCCCACTTAGTCAAGTATGACCTCTTATTAAATAATTACGTCTGCAAAGATCCTGTTTCCAAAAAGATCACATTCAGTTACCTGTGATTAGAATTTTGACATGGTTTTGGAGGACCCAATTTAACACACAACAGATAGGCCCTGAACTTCAGGGTTTTTGTTCCCTCTTTTTATTTTTAATTTTTCCCAAGTGATTGTAATATGCAGTCATAATTAAAACCACTGGTATAATTTTTTTTAATTTCTATTAAGGTAAAATTCATAAAATATTAAATAAACCATTGTAAAGTATAGAATTTATTGGCATTTAGTATACTGACAGTATTCTGCTGCAACCACTTCCACCTAGTTCCAAAGCATTTTCATTACTACAAAAGAAAATCTGGTGTCCATTAAGTAGTTACTCCCTGGTCTCCTCTCCCCCCAATCCCAGGCAACCACTAATCTGTTTTCTGATTGTGTGGATTTACCTATTCAGGATATTTCATATAAATAGAATCATACAATGCATGATGTTTTATATCTGGCTTCCTTTACTTAGCTTAATGTTTTTGAGTTTCATTCATGTTGTACCATATAGCATGTGGCTGATTAATATTCCATTACATACATTCATACACATGCCTCTGTGTGTGTGTGTGTGTGTGTGTGTGTAACATTTCTTTATCTCTTGACGAATGTTTTTTCACTTTGTGGCTACTGTGAGTAATGCTGCAAACAACATTGATGTACAAATATCTGTCAGTTTCTGCATTCAAGTCTTTTGAGCATATATCTTGAAGTGGAATTGCTGGGTCATATGGTAATTCTATGTTTAACTTTTTGAGAAACCACCAAACTGTTTTCCACAGTGGCTACACTACTGTAAAATTCCAGCAGCAATGAATAAAAGTTCCAGTTTCTCCACATCTTTACCAATACCTGTTTTCAGTTAATAGCCATCTGAGTGGGAATGAAGTGGTTTCTCATTGTGGTTTTGATTCGCCCTTTAGGGCTAATGACCTTGAGCATCTTTCATGTCCCTTTTGGTCATTTGTATATCCTCTTTGTTGAAGTGTCTATTCAAGTTCCTTGCCCATTTTTCAATTGGGTTTTCTTTTTCTGTTGAGTGTAGGAATTCTTTATATATTCCTCATATTAAACCGTTATCAGATATGTTGTTGTTATGTACCATCGAGTCGGACCCAACTCATAGTGATCCCTCCTTGGGTTGCCAAGGCAGTATCACTACGGAAGTTGATTGCCCAACCTTCCTTCCGAGGAGAGGCTGGTGGAGCTATATATGGCTACTAAATATCTCCTTCCATTCTGTAGGTTGTTATCTCTTCACTTTTTGAGGAAGTCATTTGATGCACAAAAGTTTTAATTTTGATGTAGTATAATTTATCTGTTTTGTGTTTTTTGCTTGTGCTTTTGGATCAAATCTAAGGATCATCAAATACCAGGTCCCAAAGCATTATCCCTGTGTTTTGTTCTAAAAGTTGCATGATATTCATTCTTATATTTAGGTGGTGGTTCCATTTTTTAGTTGATGTTCTTATGTGGTGCATGGTATGGTTAATTCCCTGCCTTTTTACTGGAACCTTAAATGTCTGTAACTGGGCATCACTTTTTATTCTGCAATTGATAGTAAAGAGCTAAAAAGTAAGTTGCCTAGGAGAAACAAAACTTTAAAACTTATCCACAGTAGTGTTAGTTACTGAAAATACATCACTGTTATGCCATAGTGGAAACAAAATTAGAAATTAAATGTTAGAGTTAGATGAAACTGGAAGACTATGATGTGTAGAGAAAGAGGGAAGTGCTGCAGGGGAAGCCCCGAGATTATGATGACCTCAACCAAAACTACATGGAGTGATGTGCAAATGTATTTTTATTCCACCTAATGGCATTTTTTTTTTTCAAATGGCATATAAGCACTACCTTACAGTGAAGACATCTGGAATTTTCTGTTACATTCATACGACAGTATTCTGATTTCTGCATGAACCTCCAGGACTTATAAATAATGAAAAGTTGCAAACAGCATTTTCCTATTAAATAACTTAGGGGGGGTGTTTATACATTACAGGTGAGTTTACACCTGAGATGCAGGTGAGAATTCGACAAGAGATTGAAAAGGAGAAAAAAGTGGAGCCATGGAAAGAACAATTCTTTGAAAGCTACTATGGTCAAAGGTACTATCAAGACAGATTCTATAAACCAAATGTTGATTTTTCAGAGTTGTCATATTGTGCTTCATCTCATTACCTTGCCAGAAATTCTAGTCCCCGATTGCCTTCTATTTTTTATATCATCTCTTGTTTACTGAAGTTTTTTCTTACTATGAATCTCAGGTACACAGAATTGGATATATCAGAATACAAACTCTGTCCTCAAGGAGCTATAGTCAAAATCATTTTTCCTAACAAAAAGTCCAAATGAAATTTTAATGAGAACACATGAACAGGAACATAAACAGGTAGACCTGTTTTGTTTGAAATCAGATCAAATATCCAAAGTGCTATTTGTTAGTCTCCCTCCCTGCCTTTTGCATACTACCTGGTTTTATCCTTAGCCATTCCATCTCAGAGATGGATTTATTTTAAGTCACCTAAGAAGAGTATACTGGTTTTATTATTTCAAAAAAATTAATTAATTAATTAATTTTTCCTGTTATACAGTATTCTAAAACATTAGGAGAAGTCTCTAGTGATCCTTAAGAAGCAGTCCAACTCTTTGTCAGGACACACTGTGGAAATCCCAGCTGGTTTACACTCCCAAGATAGCTCAGAGGCTCTTGAACTCAAAATTTCAGAGCTATACCACATGAGGATTAAACAGACTTTCTAAAAACTCATGTAATTCTCAGCCTTTAGCAAACATTGACATCAAGTTCTCCTACTATTCTCTTGGACTTCCTGGGCCAGCCTTACTTCAGGTACTATAGAGTATTGGTCACAATTCAAACCCACAACTCCAGGGTGAATGGATCTTAGCCTTCTCTGTTCTCTTGTGTATATAATATATGATGCATACCTCTAGACCATGTGGCCCCTTTATAAGCAGAGGTAGTAATAACCACAATTATTAAGCGTTTATCATTTGTTAGGTATGTTCTGAGTGCTTTTCATCATAGCAATACTTTGATGTAATTAATCTTTATAATTAATCTCTACTTCAATGTACAATTGCAGAAATTTAGGTACAGAAGACTAGTAACTAAAGAGCAGATGGACAGTTTGTATCAGAGCCAGGATTTGAATCTAAGTACTCTGGTTCCAGAACCTGTACTAATAAAAACAGTACTCCATCTGAAGATAAAGACGTGAAGAATGCCTACTATGCAACAGGAATTCTCATACACGCTGTCATATCCCATTATCTCATAATACCTTCAATAACATAGGCCATTTCTCAACTAACATTGTTCTTTTTTCCACTATTTTAGTTCTGGTCTGAGCCTTGAAGATTCAAAGAAATTGATAGCTTCAACAAGTGATCCCAAAGTAAAGAAAATCCCAACTGAGCAACCAAGATCCATGCTCCCTTCCGAGGCCTCTCCTGTCAGAATAGCCCCAGTGGTTCCCCAGTCAGAGTCCAAAGAAGAAGCAGTGCAAATGCCATCACCAGTGAGAAAAGAAGTACATGAGAGCCAAGATAAGGTGCATTCAAACTTCTCCAAATCCACAGAGCCCCTACTTTCTTCAGCCAGCAGTACCAATGAGCTTAGCAGCATTCTTCCCATCAAATGCCCAAAGGATGAAGATCTCTTAGAACAGAAGCCAGTTGCTGAACAGGAGCCTGAGAAAGAGAATCATCTCACCACATCTTCTAATTGTAACACAAATGAAAGCCCAGATGCTTTAGTTACATCCCCAAGCAAACCCAAGAGTCCTGGAGTGGAAAAACCAATAGTGAAGCCTGTAGTAGAAGAAGCGGGTTCACAGGAGACTGCTATGAAAGAGCCTCCCTCAACTCTTGTTGATCAGAGCCCAGAAGGCCTCAAGAGGAAATCTCTCACCCACGAAGAGCCCCCTGTGAGCTGGGAGAAGAGGCCACGTGTCACTGACAGTTGCCAGCACCAGCAGCCATTTCAGTGCTCGCCACAGCCCTTTCTCAATAGAGGGGACAGGGTCCAGGTGCGAAGAGTACCACCTCTCAAGGTAACAGTAGGGATAATTGAAAAGGAGAGATTGTCTGAATTTCAAGAAATGTGTAGTTTTCCTATTAATGCAGAAGCAGTTGTATATATTTTATATGTATTGTTTCTTAGGAGATAAATAGGTAATTTAGAACTGCATTCCTTCCTTTCAGATCATTACTGATACTTATGTAAGGAAGGAAAGTGGATATCTAGTGCCTCCTCTAGCTCCCTTGCTGGCTATCTTAAGACAATTATGAAAATTATTCCATCTTATATAACAAAATAAATATGAGAACAAGGATGCAGAGGCCATTGCTATGATTAAAAGATAATATATTTGTCCCAAGCCAATATTAACATTTAATTACTATTACTGCATCCATTTCATACATGATTCATCATTACTTAGTTTTAAGATTTATGGTTTTAGCATTTAGGAATCTTTTTTCTTTTCTACCATTAATATACACTGTCTTGCTTCTGATTCTGATTTATATGGTAGTCAGTTTTACTATTCTTCTTATAAAAATATTAGAAACCTTTCTTTAATAAATCCCAATCAAACCTTATCTCCAAACATTAGAGCTGAGTTGTAGTTTAGATTTTACTATAAGTGACACTGGGTAAAACACATAATCTCTGTTTCCTCATCTGTTAAGAGTCTGGATACATCATAATTCTGAACGTTTTTTACTAATCCCAAGACTCCACACTGAAAATGTAAATCCACTATGACTAAGCATACTTTGCTCTTTTCCTACCTTTTCCTCCCCTACTGAAAGACTTTTCACCAAAAGTTGCATTGGTAACTCTTATTTAAACCCCTATCTCAAGTCCCTCTTCTTTAGGCAAAGCTTGACGTAATTTACAACAGAACAAAACTTTTTAAACAAAATTTAAAAAGTAAATAGAAATGGAATTTTATTACAAATGCTATAACTTAGCTATGTGTTTATGTATAAAAAATGAAACACACATACACACATATATATACCATTCTGTATACAGGTAAAAAGAAAAGGATCTAATCTTTTTGCCATACCAGGGCTGGTTTTCTCAGATAAATTGTTATCAGCGCCTCAACAACTTTGAGTGGTTTTGTACCTAAATAGAAGGTGTAACATCTCATTCATTGTGCATATTTACGGAAAGGGTTATTTACCTAAATAAGTACAGTTTATTATTTTTAGGTATTAAAACTTCGTTTTAACTACTTTTAATGATTGCCATTATTTAATTTCAATATACTTTTGATCATATCATCACGATAGACATCATTTGTTGTGCTAAATGTATGGTATTACTTTCAAGATTATTCTTATGTAAGGTTGTTTGTCCCTATATAAAATTCCCATAAATAGCTGTGCTTTTCTTGTATTTAGTTTTCTAGACTTGTCTGTTTTTGCCTTAGTGGTGGTCTCTTGTACATGATGTGACCAAGGAGCAACAGTTGCTTCTTTATTACTGTAAGCAGCTTCTAAAATACTCTGTGCTGAGTAATGCTATCAAGGTTTGTTAGAATTGGATATAAAATAGATTCAGCTCTGAAAGAGGGATTAAGTATATCTCAGATGCATGTACTTTGTGATGGCTGTCACACAATTAGGGACACCTAACTTCTGGATTACACAGAATCAATTTTTCTGATGACCTTTTGATAAATTGTTAGTTATTTTACTATTCTTAATTTAAGGATTTCCAGAACAATGGAATACATTTTCTTGTGTTGTTTAATTAGATTTTCTAGATTGTCTGTAACAACTGTATACTCCTTTAAATTCAACCAACTACTGTAAGTGTCCAGATCTTGATGCATTATAATTAATTCCAGTAACTTTCAAAGTATTGTTTGGAGCACGAGTCAGATTCTTTTCAAATATGATATGATACAAAAATGAGTGGTTTCAAACCTGATAATGTATTACCACAATATGAGAAGCTTTTTGTTGGGGTTCCAATCTGTGAATTTCGAGGTAGACTCAGGGCATCTGAAAAAAGCTTAAGAAGCTCCACAAGTAAGTGTACCCATTCCTTACTTATCAGCATGGTTGGTGTCCAACAACCAGGCCATTATGTGAAATTGACATCATGCAAAAGTCAGGAGCCACACACCATTTTTGGTACCAGTGACATCTCCTTCACTTACCACCCATCAGGCGCCCCTGGCCCATCTCTGGATGCATGTGGCATAGCAGGCCCCTGTCCCCACCACTGCAGAACTGCAGGGGTTGGAGTTAGGGGTGGTGATAGCGGTGGTTGGGTATTGCCTGCTATCCTGGCACCTCCCTAGGTGGGAACCTCGCTCATCCTCCATCTGCCTCAGCCCATTTTTCTCATTTACTTCCTACATCCTCCAGCCAACCTCTTTGGCACCTTTGGGCCCTCACCAGCCTCCCCCTGCCCTTCTGCAACTTTGCATAGACCTGCTGTTGCATGTCTGTGGCCAGACCAAGATGTTGCAGAAAAACGGGAGGGGGCATCCTGTAGCCAGTTAGCCACCATCCCTTGTATGGCCCCTTTGTTTGTAGAACTTCTAATATGTCATTTAGGGTGGCCCACAGAGGCACCCTAGCCCAGCCATGGGCCCACATGGGGCCCACATGAGACCATCGGACGTGCCACCTGAGAATTTTTCAAAGTTGTTTAAATGTGATATGTCAGATAATGAGATAATTGAGGAGTATAGGCATCTAATGCCAACCAGGGATGAGAATCAGGAGAGTGAACATTATGTACACACGTCTACACTCTCCCTCATATGGATGGCATGGTACATGCACCTCTGAATCTCTATTCTAGTGCTGGCTCATTTATTTAATTTGAAATAGTCTAGCCTATGTTCTTAATAGTGTATCTGTGTGTGCATGTGTCTGTGTGTAGACCAGGGCACAGAAAGTATTGTTCCCTGAACATTGGTAGTAAAGCTAAGAAGTGAAAATAGTAATAATAGGATACTCTCTTGTTTCCCAGCCCCAACTCACTTCACACACATTTAAAAATGCAGATACCATAGAAAGGTTTATATCTTAAACAATTACCAGTTTAGAGTAGTATTGATATTAGGAGGGAGTTGTGTTCAGGAAAGTAATAGGGATTTGAAGCAGGAATAGAGGTTTTAGGAGTTCCTGGGGAGGGAGGAGAGTCTGTGACTCTCCGATAGAGGAGGTGCCAGGTAGGAAACAAATTTGTGTTGCCGTCTCCATGATTTGGTCTTAGACCAGCTGTAGACCTGCCTTCTTTGTCGCAGGTGCTGTAGTCTTCACCCTACTCTGAAAATGTGTTAATGAAGTTTTGTTACACTTATCAATGAAAACTAAGCTCTGATACGTTTTTTTCCCTACTTCTTTCAGATCCCGGTCTCCAGAATCTCCCTTATGCCATTTCCTACATCGCAGGTCTCTCCCAGGGCTCGTTTTCCAGTCTCCATCACTAGTCCTAACAGAACAGGAGCCAGAACCCTTGCAGACATCAAAGCAAAAGCCCAACTGGTCAAAGCACAGAGGGCAGCTGCTGCAGCCGCCGCTGCAGCTGCTGCAGCCGCCTCCATTGGAGGGACCATTCCAGGACCTGGCCCAGGGGGTGGACAAGGTCCAGGAGAGGGTGATGAAAGGAAAACTGCTAGGGGAGGGAGTCCAGGCTCAGACAGAGTCAATGAAACTAGAAAGGACCCCATACTGGAACTGGCAGGAACTGGAAGCAGGGGAGGTACGAGAGAGCTTTTACCCTGTGGTCCAGAGACTCAGCCCCAGTCTGAGACCAAGAACCCAGGGCAGGCACAGCCTCATAGTGTCTCTGGAGCACAACTACAGCAAACCCCCGCAGTGCCTCCCACATCTGCTGTCAGTGGAGCATGCACAAGTGTCTCATCACCAGCCCACACTAACCCACCCCCACCAGCTTTAGAGAAATTGAATAGTGAAAAACTGAACCCCACCCGGACAACAGCCACAGGGGCCTCTCTCAACCACCCTCAAGGGTCCAATAAGTGCAGACAGGAGAAAGCACCTTCTGCTCCAGCAGGCCTTGCTCTGATCTCAGGTGCCTCGCCCATTCATTTTGCAGTTGACGGCACAGTTGAGCCCAAAGCAGGTTCTAGTAAGAATACATCAAACCCTTCAGCCTCAGCAGAGACAAATGCTAGTACTCCAGTGGATATGACTCCTTCTCCTTTAACATCTTTATTGACAACAGCCACTTTAGAAAAACTTCCTCTACCCCAGGTCAGTATAACCATAGCACCTACTGGATCAGCTCCATCCTTGAGCACTTTGCCAGCAGTTTCTAGCCTTAAATCCCCAGGAACTTCTTCAAGTATGAATGGACCCATTTCAAGACTGAACTCTAGTATCCCTGCTAATAATCCTTTGGTCACTCAGCTACTCCAAGGCAAAGATGTTCCCCTGGAGCAAATCCTTCCTAAACCTCTCACCAAAGTTGAAATGAAACCTGTTCCACTGACTAAAGAGGAAAAGGGATTAGGAGCACCCATAGGTACCAACATAACAGAAAGTAGCACAAGAGAGGAAATTAATGAGAGACAGTACCACCCAGCTATACAGCAGCTGGGTAAAACATTGCAAAGTAAGCACCTACCCCAGGTTCCAAGGACCCTTCAGCTCTTTTCAGCTAAGGATCTGAGGGACTCTAGCATTGACACACATTCATACCAAGAAGGATTAAGTAAAGCAAGCCAGGATCAAATTCTTCAGACTCTCATCAAAAGGGTTCAGAGGCAGAATGTTCTCCCAATGTTGCAGCCCAACCAGTTCAACTTTGCTCACTCAGGTTTCCAATTAGAAGACATCTCCACAAGCCAGAGGTTCATGCTGGGTTTTGCTGGCAGAAGGACATCCAAGCCTGCAATGTCAGGCCACTACTTACTTAACATTTCTACCTATGGCAGAGTTTCAGAGAGCTTTAGGAGGACCCATTCTGTAAACCCTGAAGACCGATTTTGTCTAAGTAGCCCCACTGAGGCCTTGAAAATGGGATATACAGACTGTAAGAAAGCCACAGGAGATAGCAGCAGTGGCAAAGAAGACGATACTGATGAGGAGAGTACTGGTGATGAACAGGAATCTCTCGTGGTGAAGAAGGAACCCTTGGCTCCCCTGAGTTCTGACAAGTGTGAAGCAGGTTCGGGACTCCACAGTAGGGAAGCCCTGTCCACCAATGATTGCTCAGCTAACAAGAACGTGAAGGCAGAGACACCAGTGAATGAGCACACCACTTTAAGCAAAGAGAGTTACCTGTTCACTAGAGGCCAAACATTCGATGAAAAGACCCTAGCCAGAGATTTTATTCAGGCAGCACAGAAGCAGATGGCTCATGCAGTAAGAGGTAAGATGATGGGTAGTAGCCCTGAGCTTTTCAGTTCTAATGCTCTTCCTGTACCTGCAGACAGCCCCACCCAAAAGCCTCTGCTGCTTCCGCCGCTGCAATCCTCAAAGCTGTATGGAAGCCCTGCACAGATAGGGCCAAGCTACAGAGGCATGATCAACGTCTCCACCTCATCTGACATGGACCATAGCTCTGCTGTGCCGGGTATGCCTGACTGTAGCCAGGTATCTAGCAATGTAGGTGATGTTATGTCCTTTTCAGTGACTGTCACTACCATCCCTGCTAGCCAAGCTATGAATCCCAGCAACCACGGCCAGACTATTCCTGTCCAGGCCTTTCCCGAAGAGAACAGCATAGAGGACACACCTTCGAAATGTTATTGCCGTTTGAAAGCCATGATCATGTGCAAAGGGTGTGGCGCTTTCTGCCATGATGATTGCATTGGCCCCTCTAAACTGTGTGTCTCCTGTCTTGTTGTTCGGTAATGAAACTAGAAAGAATACACTGTAAAGGAGAAGGGGAAGGAAGAGTTGACAAGATGTCTTTTTTGCGTCCTTTTGGAATCACAGAAATAAATAGATTTCAGTTGTCTTAGGAGACAAATGTTACTTAATCAGGAATACAGAGGACAGATCTTTTATGTTTTAGAGGAAGAGCACCTTGTATAGTAAGTCTAAGTCAAGCACGACTTTGTGAATTTGTGACAAGTTTGCACTTACAAAATCATGTAAATATGTCACATTTTGTTTTAGCATTGTTTTTTCAAGTGTTTAGGTAATAATGTATTACTTTGAATTCAGATTTATGTTCCACTTCATGTGACTGAGAAAAGTTAAATATGAGACATGGTGAAAGAGCTGTCTCTCTTCTGACCTTTTCTCTAAGGGGCTTGGGAGAGGAAGGAGAGAAGGAATGGTCTAACGAAATGGTCGTCCATGCTGATTATGCCTTGACTGTCTGGCTGCGGATTATACGTAGGTTTTTTAGACTTTACAACATTTGGGTTCAGGCCTTATTCAGTCCCTTTACTTTAGATAGAACCTTCCTCAGTTCACATTTTTTAGGCATCAATTTCACAGGTAGTGTTTCCAACTCTGAAAGCTCTGACTTGGTTCTTGGCTTCCAAAAACCAGTACTTTTGCCAAGCACTCTGCTTGCAATTTGTGAATCCTGCTGTTCCTAACCCTACTCTCCCGCCCTTAAACAGTGAGGGTGGTCTTTGAAGGGTGTGCCTCTCTAGGCCCCATTATGCTGTTGTAGCCTGTGCAGGACAACATGTCTAGCAATACTATCCAAACACTTAATCATTCATGGGAGCTTACACACAGCTTTGAAATACTAGTATGAAATTTACAGAAAAGTGTTAGCAGTGGGATAATTTGAGCTGTGCTTTGTTGGGCAAAGGGAATGAAAGTGCAGAGTGTCAAGGTGAACGTGAGAACTTTGGTAAGCAATTTTAACACTTGAAGCAAGGTAGCCCCTCTTTTTTTCTCTTCTCTCCCAACCAGTTATTAATGTTCTGGAGTTACTGTTGTTGCAGATCCAAAAGCTCGTTAATGCCACATTTGCCCATTCTATTAAACCTGTTTTGACCTCCCAAGTATCTGTGGAGGATGGAATGATCTTATTACATATTGCTTTAACACGCACACACAGACAGTAAAAGTCAGGAATTTTTCTTGTTTTAGAAAATATGCCCCTGGTTTTGGATTACTGCTGTCTGTGCACTAGAAACTTTAAAGGGATTTCAGTGAGTAGCTAAGGATATGTCTAGAAAGAAAGGAGAAATTAGCACTAAAATTTTGTTTTGTTTTTCATTTTTTGCTTCCTTTTCTGTTAACTTTTTTTTTTCAATCTTGTCTCTAGTGACGAAAATTTTTTTGAGTACATAATATTTAGGTCATGGTTAAAGGACATTAAAGTAATCTTCAGTTTACCAGAATTTGGTTTTAAGTTGGGGATTGGAGTTTGCAACATTTGCATATAGATTTCATGTCTCCTAATTTCAAGTGTGTAAAGTAAACTTATTACTGTTACCTAGTACAGTATTTTAGACTTAATATCCAGGATATAATATTTATAAAATGCAGAGCAGATTAAATTTATAAATTAAGTCACATTCCAGATAGGAGCAAGTAGGCAATAATTTTTGCTTTGCTCCCATTCTGAAGCCTGCAGTGAGTCTGGAGCTTTCTGCCACCACTACTTCCCACTTTGTCCATTCTTAATGCTTTCATAGGCCCTGCTCCAAACCTCATAAGAAATTCACTTCACTGTTTTTTTCAGTTTTTTCTGGCTAAATGCAAATGTAAGATTAATATCTGAGTTCCAGTTTCATCCAAAATAATATGATATCCTTCCATTATCTTTCCTTCCAGCACTCACATAGCTAAAGAGATATGAAGGCTACAGGGATCCAGGGATAAGGAGTAAGAACCAGTAGGAAACAAACACCATGGCTCTGTCCCAAACTTTCGGTGCACTGGGTAGTCCAAGGGGGAGTTTAAAAAGATATACTGATGGAGTGAAACTCCTCTCGATGCCCCGCCTCTTCACTCCTCACTTTGGTAGCAGGGCTGAGGAGGACTGGTGTGCATGCTGGAAGTAGTTGAGTGTTTCAGAACTGACCCCGTGCAAATTACCAACTTGGATTGATAAAAATGACTTTTCTACTTTGCTCCTTTAATGTCATAGAAAGGTTTTCTTCAATGGTCCCTTTAATCTGAAGATGCACATACTGTAGTTAGGCAAGAAAGGTGTCAAGGATTTCTGAGACCATTTGAGAGCAAACCATATTGTGCCTCTTCATCTTGACCCAGGCTAATGGTGATAGATCCTAAGTGTTACTGTTCACCAAATTCTCTTCAAAAAGAATTCTCATCTGATAAAATATTTTCATTTAGGAACACACCTAAGACAGAAATCTCCAACTAGGTACATTGCCTCAGTCTAAACCAAATAAGAGAGTAGATTGGTAGTAAATTGGATTGCAGTGGTTTCAAGTAGAAAGTCATTCATTTTACAAGAAACAGAAAAATCAGTCTGACCCTTTTGAAAAATGAATCAGTAGAAACAAATCTTCAAGTAACATATGAGAGTATGGTACTCTAATACCTTTAAAGCAGTATTTATCTTACGTTTGCAAAGTTGTTTTGCCTTTCAGTTCAATCTGGAATGTTTCCCAGTAAGTGGTAAGGTTTATTCTTAGAGTGTTAAGTAGCAGTACTTCCACTGACTAGTCAGGCAGTATGCCTCCAGTGTACCCGTCTCTAGCCTTCAGATACCTCCATGGCAAGTCACTTGAGGGAGAGAGCATTAACAGTACATCATCTCAGTCTTATTTATGAATGTTCTAAGTGGTGTAGTAGAGAAGACTCCCTGAATTGTAATGAATTTTGATTAAAATTCTCCATGGTACTTAATGAGAAAATAAAGCCAAATAAACAGCCTACGGGGTGGTTTGCCCTACTTCTGTTCCTTAACTCTTATGCTCAAGTTGCTGAAGCTGTCTGTGCTATCCCATTTGACATTTTTAAATATAAGAGCTGACTGATGGGAAATTTTTCTTGAGAGGGTGGTAGGGAGCATATTTACTTCCATGGGCTAAGAAGGCACACAGATACAGATTTTAAGACTCTAAGACTTAAACTTCAGATTTAAATAGCCAAATGAAGACCTCATTGCCTTCCAGGTGAAGGTGTAAATTCATGCCTATTAATGACCTGACATCTCAATTGCTTGTTACTGCCTTCTCCTCTCCATCACCCCCCACCTTAGAGACCCTTAAAGAACTCCCTGGTGAAATTATTTGTTATAATGAAGAGGGCTTTCTTTGATCATTACAATATTTACTTTTAGTACTCATATCAGAGAGCAGTGCCAGAGTTGTTTTCACTGATGTAGAGGTTTCATGTTGCAGCAAGGAGGAAAAAGTCACCCGATTGCTTGACTACAAAGTGCTAAGGAAAAACCTTGGCCCAAGGGTATTCTTCAGCTCAGCTTATAGAATAGTCCAAAGAGACTTTGGGAAACATGACGATAGGCAGGGATCTTTCCTACCATGTTTCATTACCTACATACCTATTGATAGAGAGCAATGGGTAAAATATTTCCTAAAGTTGAAGTAATAGCTTCAGAGATTCTTGGTTACTTTATTTTTTTTAATGCTTTACATTTGATACAACTATTAAAGATCAATTTTAAAAATAGCTTTCCAGTAATATATTTTGAGTAATATATATTTTAATATCTATGTAAAAAATGACAGTGGAAGACTTTGGATTTCTCTTATATGGTATGTTAACTTAGAACCTCACTGTTAAGGCACAAATTATTTCAAAGAAAGTTACTCTAAAGTCACTCAGATTATTTCCACAAAATGCAATAAGAGGGATAGTTTTGGGGTTTATTTTTTATTTTGAAAGAAAATGGATGTATTTACCACAAGCTATTTTTTTTTCCCTTCTGGCTACAAGGTTTGTACAGAGTGGTTTGGTAAATGCTAAGCTTTTGTGTCTTTTGCCTTTTTAAAGGAATTGTTAACATTGGAATTGAGGGTATGTACAGAGAAGTTGGTGTCAACACCATTTAAAAAGTCATATTTTTTCACAAATAATATAGAAAAAAATCATTTTACATAAGAATTTTAAGTATTTGCAATAAATATCTGTATATAGATTGTATGTATTCATATATTCTTATTTTTCATTTTATTAAGTAAAAGATAATTAAAAGTGAAAATAAAAACCTTGGAGTTTTTGGTGACTTTTGAGATCTAACATATATTTGAGAGTGGTATGGGTAAGGTCCCTCAGTTGTTGCCTTATACTATTTTCAGAAGGTTACTGCAGATTGTATGGAAAAAAAGAAAAGTAAAATGAGGCATTTGGTGATAAACAAACCAGAGTAGTGTATTTCTTTCAGAGCCCTAAAATATTATTACGTCTTTTAGTCTCTTTCTCTCCTTGTGTTCCCCCTTGTTCTGTTCTGTCTCCTAACTGCCTAATAATCAGGTTCCTGGAAAAGTGAAGAAACTTGGTGCAGTCTCTTTTTGACTGTGGCTATTGTTTGCTTCTAAAGCAAAGAATGGTAAGGAAATAATCTCGGGGAGAAAATCAGTTTTCCTTTCTCCACAGTGGTCAGTTCATCAGCAAACATTCACTGCCACCACCTTGCAGGCCCCTAGGAGTAGGTAAAGAAATGATCACATGAAAGTATTAGAAGACCTTTTTCTGTTACCAATTCTTATCTGACAAGTGTGTTTCATAGCCAGTTTCATGTCCTTTCTGACTGCTCTGGAGAGGTAGAAGAACCAAGAGAACCTTGTAAAAAGAAACACCTGTGTTTTGATTAGATCCTATTTCAGCATTGCACTTAAAATCTGAACTTCCTAGTGTCATAAGAAGGCCATTTATGGAAATAGGGACTGAGTCAAATGTTAGGAAGGGACAGTAGTCTCTTATCATAGTTTCATATCTAGAGATAACCTGGAATCCTGTCCAATCCAAGAGAATTCCGTTTGTGGTTGTAAACACTTGAGTTTGGGGTATTACCAGGGGTGGGGAAGGGGGAATGATACTTAA